CTTTCACACAAGTTTCATGAACGAAAAATATCTTAACATGTAAGGAAAAATGACACCTGTATTGAGAGATCTGATTAACTATATGTTTATACAATAGAATAAATGTGCACACATTTGTTCAAACAGATCATATGAACAACAAAATGTGCACACATAAAGCAATATGTCAAGGCATGTGTAAACTACAAACATGATTGTGTTTAAACCACTAAAAGTGCAGACATCAGAAAGAATGTGCACACGAACTCCATTAGTTGACAAAAACACTTACAACCATTTATGTTTTTATGCAACAATCTTTCATCTAAATGCCATTATCCATCACACAATTTGTTTTTTCTTTTTCTTTTTTGGTCAGTGGGTGAGGAAGAAGAAAGAAGCAAGTTGCTCGAGCTGGCCTTTTTTGTTTCGAGCTTGAGCTCGACACTGTAGCAGCCGAGCCGAGTTCGAACAACCAAAGCTCGGCTAAGCCCATTTACACCCCTATGGGGGACATGAGTTTGTTTTGGTGCTTACTGTTTGAACTAAAAAAAATTAGTCCAAAGTTGAGATAATACAAGTTGTTTCAAACATGGGATAAAAAAAATAAAATGAAATTTCAATCTTATAGCAAAATTAATTCATTATAGTCTTGTTTGCAAAATAGACCCTACGTTTTTTCAATGGTGGGATTAAAAAAAACAAAATTCACTGTTGTAGCAAAATTAATTCATCACCGTCTTGCGCAATCAATAGACCCTTAGGGATTTAATAAACTTTTACATTTAGGTTTCTATTTTTCACTTTTTTAACATTTTTATTTCTTCTTACTTAATTTTTTTGACACAAATTTTCAACCATGAATTCAATGCAATCAAGTAATGTAGGAACTGCCGAGTTGGCAAAGAAAATAAGTACCTCATAATTTTTTTTCTCAAATTCATTAATTACAAAATAACTATGGTAGACATTTGTCATTTGTGAGTCTATTTAAGTCAAAATTTTAAACTAAAATACCATTCCCACCCTGCCCAGTTTGCCAGGAAAACTCTTGGTCTTACAAATTAAACTCAGTTTGGACACTTCGAGTTTGGAGTTTGGACTGGATCTGACAAATTAACATCTCTACTTTAAAGATGCGTTTGGATAGGGGTGTTCAACAAAATGCGAAAACCGAATCTAACCCGTAGCTAAACCGATTTTCCGATTATTTGAAAATCCAGTTCAGTTTTGGTTCAAAGAAATACAAAAATCAATTTTTCAGTTTGATTACCGGTTCACGAGAATGGGTTAACCGAAACTGGTTTACTATAAAAATATTAAATTCAAATATAAAATAAAAAAATTCAGTTTATTATAAAAATATTAAATTAAAAAAATATACAAAATTTAAACCAGTTAACCCAAAAACTAGTTTTCCCCTTAATTTGTTCAATTTCAGTTCAGAAAAATTTATGAACCAAAAAACTGGTTTAGTTCACAAAATTGATTAATCGGTTTTGAACACCTCCATATTTGGAGACTATGGGATGGACTATCTTTCAAGAAGTCAGTCCAAAACCCATGTTTAGACTGACTGCCAAGAAGAGAATGGGATTAGACTGGGCTTTAGTCCCAATCATTTGGGATAAGGAATCCCACAGGTAGCATCGTTGGGACTTGGTTATTTTTTTATTCCTTCTATTCACAAGAGGCGGAAGGAGGGGTATTTCAGTGAGTTCAGATACAGGATGTGGTCATTCTCATTCCTGTGTAAAAAAAAAAAAAAAAAAAAAACAGGGTTATATATAAACTTGGCAAAACCGACAGGTGGGTTGGGTATAGACCAGGCTCAATGGGTACGGTTCAAAAAGGGTCCAAAATATTAGACTCGAACCTACTCGTTTACTGTTCATTGGCAAGGAATATTCTAATGGAAAACAAGTACTAAGTTTTCAAAAGAATGGAGAAAGGGTTTTTATATCTGTGAGCCTCACATACAGAAATGAGAAAAATAAACAATTACATGGAAAGAACAAACACGAGTTGGAAAACTCCAGGCTGACTGGCTGAGGGAAGTGATGTAATGGATTGAAAAAAGCCAAAATCTTAAAGAGAAGCCTTTAAATTTCTTCCAGCTTCAATTAAAGGTAAAATAATTTTAAATAAATAAACATTGTAACAGTTTATGATATTTACAAGAAAAATTAACCAGAATATTTACAAGGAAACGCCATTGGATCACAAACACAGTGCACCGAATTCACATGCAAAGCAATGGGTTCATATTTCTTTTCGCTAAAGTCCCATCTGCAACCATCTCCCCATATTTGTTTATTAGGGTTTTTTCTTCATCCTCAAACCATTTCTTTCTCATTGGAAGAACCATTATTCAACAATACCAACTATTGTACTACTAAAAACACCAATACTAGCTGTTAAATTGAAGAATTGTTTGTTTTCAATTCATTGATTTATCACTAAAGAGTTACATCCTTTATATAGGAAGTATACGATCTCCTAAATCCCCTAATTATGTCAATTGTGGATTTCACAATATTTTGTCTGACATAATTAGGAGATTACATAATCTTTACCTGATTACAAAATATTTACACAATATTATGAAAATCTTAACACTAGTAACTTCTTTCGACCTACTTCCAAATCTATCACGTACCAAGTTATATGGCATCGAAGAGAAACCCCAAAAAAAGCCAACCTAGATCAAAATTAAGCACCAAAATAGATAGAATTGTCTTACTTTGAGCTTCAAATTGAGCATGTGATGAAATGATCAAGCTTTATAGGGCTTGTGAAGCTTCGTGGAGGGTGATTTTCAAAGGAAAATTGAGAGAGAAACTGTGGGAATCTAAGAGAAAGCGACGATCGGAGATGATATTAAAGCATCTCAAAATGATTTTTTATATGACCCAAACTTTTTATTATAAATAGTTTATCCATAAAAACAAGAGTCTAACAGACTCTTTATTCTTTAAATATAAATTAAAGAGTAAATTTGGCTCTCTACATCTAGAGAGTCAAATTTTACTCTTTATTCTAATTTTAATTAATAAACTATAAGTTTCTATGTATTTTATTTATTAATTCTCTTTCTTGAAAATAAATAGCATCTTTATTAAATTTAAAGAGTCTATTGGATTTGAATAAAAATTTTGTTCTTTATATTTAGAAATTAATAAAGATACTCTTTATTTATATGAAAAATACTTTTTAAAATAAAGAATACCATTGGAGATGCTCTTAGGAAATTAAGGTTATTCATATATATATTTTTTTAATTTATACGAGTACTCGCAGTTATACCCGGTCCACCCACCAAAAAAGGGTCAAGCCGAGTATGGGTCAAGAAAAAGGATTCGTAATGAGAGACTCGTACCCTGGGTGTGTTTATTTAGGCTGCATTTGTTTCACAATTTTCCCCCTATCCTATTCCCTATCATATCAAAAATACACATTTGTTTCCTTATTTTAAAAATATTATTCTATTTTATTTAATTATTTTTAAACCCCCTAGGTTTGTTAATTTAATTAAACACCCCCAAATTTTTTTTTTAGAAATTGACAAAAACACCCCGCCAACCCACATTTGCCAGATTCCGGCCACCACCGCTAGAAGGTGGCCAGAATCTGGTATAATGGTGTACTACTGACTGGATCTGGTCGGTAGTGCCCCGATATAAACTTTTTCGACCAGATCCACCATAGATCTGGCTGAAAAATGCCAGATTTATGGCCAAAGACAACCAGATCTTTGGCTGTAGCTAGCCGTCAATGACGACCAGGATATGGGTCGTTGTTGATGATTTGACCGTCAATGGCCAGATCTAGCCGTAGATCTGACCTTTTCCGATCTGGCCGAAAAAGGCCATATTGGCACACGACCGACGAGATCCATCCGATCGTGCGCCAATACAATGACTCCGGCCACCCTTCGGCGGTGGTGGTTGGCTATCGATATTTAATGGGTGGGTGGGGGTGTTTTTTTAATTTTTAATGTTTTATTATAGGGGTGTTTAGTAAATTAACAAACCTATGGGATATTTTTGTTAATTTTCAAATCCTACCTCGTAATAACCACCCAATTTTATTTTTTTTCAAAATATTATTTTAAAAAGTATTAGAATAATGAACCAAACGCACCTAGTTATTCATACCGTATCCTATAAAAAATACATATTTGTTTCCTTATTTTGAAAATCCAATTCTATTATATTCAAATTTTTTAAACCCCATAGGTTTGTTAATTTAATTAAACACCCCTAACAACAAAAAAAAAAAAAAGGTTTAGAAATTGACAAAAACAACTCCACCCACCCACATTTGCTAGATTTCGGCCACCACTGTCGGAAGGTGGCCGAAATCTTGCGTAATGGCGCACTACCGGCTAGATTTAGCCAGTAGTGCACTGATTTAGCCTTGTTCGATCAGATCCACCGTAGATTTAGCTAGAAAAGGTCAGATCTACGGCCAAAGATCTGATCGTTGATGGCCAAATCTTTGCCCATAGCTGGTCGTCAACGATGGCCATATCTTTGGCCGTCGTTGACGACCAAATGTGGCTAGATCTGGTCGTCAATGGCCAGATCTAGCCATAAGATCTATCCTTTCCGACTAGATCCACGACGGGTCTGGCCAGAAAAGGCTATATCGGCCCACGACTGGCCAAATCCAACTGGTCGTGCACCATTACGGTGATTTTTGGCTACCGTTCAGCGGTGGCGACCGGTTGTTGGCATTTAATGGGTAGGTAAGAAGTGTTTTTATTAATTTTTAATATTTTATTATAGGGGTGTTTAGTAAATTAATAAACCTTGAGAGATATTTTTGTTAATTTTTAAATCTTATTTCGTAATAGCCACTCAACTCAACTTTTTCAAAAAGTTTACCAAAAATAATAAATCAAACACACTGGGTACAGGTACGGATCTACCCCATCGGGTAATTACCTGTTTTCCAAGGATCGGTTATATACCCTATTTCTGCCTAATTCTTTTTTCTTTTTCTTTTTATGTCAATGAACAGATATAGAAGTAGAAATTATTTTTTCATTTTAAAAACCAAAATTGCATCTGGACGGAAGAGCTAAGCTTCAGACCCTCTTCCAGCTGTTTGAAATCCACAACAACCTGTCCTGGAGGCTGGAGATTCGAAATTAGATGGCGAGTTAGGTCAATGTCGACTAGCCCGCCCTGCTTATGATTTTGTTCCTGTTGTCTCGAGGTTTTGCTTCAACATCAGGACTCACGATTCGGTTCCGATCTACCTGACCCTCCACTTCGTTACTTTTCCTCGATCTGAGAGAGGGAGTTGTTTTTTGGTGTCCAGAATGGCTACCTTCATCAAGCTTGAGGATTCTCCAATGTTTCAAAAGCAGGTGAAATGCGCTGATTAGATTGAATTATTTCACTTCTTATTGAAAATCCACTGAATATATAATCGAATTTTGATTATTTTTGTGAGGAATGACACAGTTTGAGCTCGCTTTCCTATTTAATGTTAGTAATTGGTGTAATATTATGTCAATCGACTAAGTATGTTTTTAACTGGTTGATTTAATAGTATGAGTGTTACTAAAGTTGAGGTAGGGGTAGGGATTGTGCTTTATCTTATTCACGTGTTTTCTGTTTATGGGCAGTTATTTTCTCTGGAAGAGACAGCTGATGAGCTGAAAGATCGTTGCCAAACACTTTACAAAGGCTGCAAAAAGTTTACGTACGTGAAAATCCTTTTTATTTTTTTTTTTAATTTTTATGTTTTACTATTTCACTGTTATGGTTGCTGAATGATCTCCTGGAAGACAACTAAATTGTTTTGATGCCACACTTTGGAAGTTCTCTGGTATTCTAACTTATTATGTCTAGTGATGGCATTTAATTACTGAACTCCTCATTAATGATTTAGATGTTGTTGTGAGTGATATAACTATGACAAATCATTTACCATCTAATGGGATACAATGTTTGGATATAAACTTTTTAAGAGTAGCATTACTTAGAATCCCAAGTGATGTGACAACTGATTTACCAATATCATAGTTATGATGGGATATATGATGAATGATATAATCATTACATATTAGCTGCCACTTGACTTGAGATACAAAGTTCGATATAAACTTTGTAAGTGTAGCATTACTTTAAAAAATTATGTGTATCTTTTTATGGATTTTTTTTTTTCTCTTTTTTCATTGTTTCATTCATGCTAGGTTCCAGATTTGTATGAGTGGAATTATAATTACTTTTAATTAAACAATAAAAATATCAAATAACTCAGAAATGCTTTCTGTAAATGAATTTATGAAAATAGTGAAAACAACTCATTAAGTGTTTTCCTATTTCCTTTACAAAAATTAGAAAATGATTTTTTATTTTGTTTTTCAGAAACTTTAGAAAAGTTATCAAACAAATTTATCTTTCTCATTTCTTTTATTTTTGTTCTTGAATTTAAAAACACAAAATCATTTTTTGGACAAGACTCCCAATGCCCTCAGTATTGTTCTCATTCCAAATTTCAGAATCTCAATGTTAAAGCTTTTGGAAAAAACAACCATTATATAAAGTTAGCACTTGATGAACGTATTGATATATGCCAACCACTTATTTCTATGAATCTCTAAGTCTCATACCATCCTAAGTAGGAGAGTGAGCCCTGTATTATGATGCCTATACAATCTTCAACTTGGACATACATGATTAAATTATCACTTATGTGTATATTAGAATGAATACAACTTTTGTTAGATTTTGTCTAAGGAATAACCTGTGACTTTTCAATTTGCTTTTTTCATGTCTTTATTCACATTAGCGACATAAGGATGAAATTGTACAATTTTTTATTTATTTTTTTTATAGGGAAGCTCTTGGAATAGCATGTAATGGGGACACAACCTTTGCAGATTCCTTAGAGGCATTTGGTGGTGGAAAAGATGATCCAGTTAGTGTATCCATGGGAGGTTTGTTGAGTCTTCTATGTCTTCAAATTCCACTAAGTGTGATAACTGATCGTTGGTTCTTGATGATATTAGCATTTTAAAATTTCTATTAGTGAANTTATCCCTTATTAATAAAATTTTTGGACAAAAATATCCTTATTTTGAAATTAATTTACAAATATATTTATGGACTATTTTATCTTTATATACAAATTTTTTAGGACATAAATACTCTTGGACTTTAAAAAAATGACCCAAGGATGGTGGTCGGATCTGGTCACCATCGCTAGCTGTCAGCCAATGGCCAGATCTGACCATCGGCCACTATCGTCGGTTGGTGACTGAATGGCACACGACCGGTCGGATCTAGCCGGTCGTGTGTCAGTAAGACCGTTTTCTGCCATGGATCCGCTAAAAACGGCCAAATCTGGCCGTTTCATTACCAAATATTTGGCCTTTTCATAGCCAGATCTGGTTGGAAAAGGCTTTATCGGCGCATGGCCTGCTAGATCTTGTAGGTTGTGCGCCATTCCATCGTTGATCGGCAATGGTGGCTAGCTGCCGGCAATGGCTTGGGGGTGGGTGAGGGTGTTTTTGTTAAGTTTTAAACGTTTTTGGTTGTTGGGGTGTTTATGCTAAATCTGAAATGTAGGAAGTTAAAAGAAATGACTCAAAAAATAATATTATATTAATATTTAAAAATGAGGGCAATTTAATAATTTATATAACATACCCACCAATTTATTTATTCCAACTAAACATATTAATATAACATATCCACCAATTTATTCCAACTTAACCAAACATACTTCCTTAAATATTTTCAGTAATCTTCAAGGTAATCTATTTTTCTATTAATATAACATTTATAGTAATATAACATTCTCTGAACCAAATATACCCTTAGGGTGCGTTTGGTTCGGGGAATGTTTTATTGCTCAAATGGTAGGATTACCTTGAAGATTACAGGACAATGTTATACCAATATGTTTGGTTAGATTAGTGGGTATAGTTATTAAGATGTTTGGTTGGGAAGAATAAAATATTATCGATAGAGGCTTTTACTGAATTGTTCTTCCTTTTTAATATCATTAATAATATTGTTAATATTAATATTAATATTAATATTTTTATTATTAAAATTCCTTTAAGCACTTATATTTGAGAATTTAGCTAAAACAACCCCAACAACAAAGTTTATATTTTAACAAAATACCCCCAGCCACACAAGACCACCGCCGGCCATTGGCGTGAGTCACCAAAACAGAGCACGACCGGCGAGATCAGGCCAGCTATGCATCGTTTTGGCCTTTTCGGCTAGATCAAAGGCCGAAAAAGTTAGATCACTATGGATCTGGCCGAAAACAGTTAGATCACGAAGATTTGGCTGTTTCTAGCCAGATCCATGTTGATCTGGCTGTTTTCGGCCAGATTGAAGGTGAAGGCCGAAAATAGCCCGATCATTGTGGATCTAGTCAAAAATGGCCACAAATGGTCGATCTATTCTGGTCGTTTTCAGCCTTTAATTTGGCCGAAAATAGCCAAAACAGCGCACGGTCGACCAAATTGTCGTGGATTTGGTCAAAGCCGTTTTCGGCCTTCAATCTGACCAAAAACAGCCAAAACAGTGCACGGTCGACTAGATCCCGTCGGTCGTGCGTTTATATGACGACTATTTCTGGTGGCCAACGATGGTGGCTAGTGGTTGACGGTGGTCTTTGGTGGTTGGAGATATTTTGTTAACTTCTAAACTTTTTGTGGTTGGGGTGTTTTAGCTAAATTCTAAAATGTAAAGGGTCTGGGTTATTGTTATTTGGTAGACATTTGAGGGCAATTATGTCAAGAATAGTATTTAATTAAGGGCAAAATGGGTATAAAATTAAGATTACCCCAGTAATCTTTAAATACCACCCCTTGAGGAGGTAATCTGATTGCCCCCTATTTAACTCATAGTAATCACTGTTGGTATTGAAATATTACCAAAATCTTTTATTACTTGACAACCGAACTAGGGAATGTCTAGAATTAAAGATAGATTAGTGGAGTTATCTCTCCAAAGCCCTAACCAATCACACCTTTAGGGTAAAAGATTACCTTTTTAAAGCTATACAACACTTTGTATCTTCAACGGAGATGAAAGATTCCTCAAAGTAAAAGTCCACCATCAAGAGAGAAAGAGATGGCCGATTTTTTTACTAAAGGGTGAGATGATTTTTCAATCTAAAAATTAGGTTAAAAGTGGAGATAATGATGTATTTATATACTTGGGTCATTTTTCAATTTTTGGAACTTTTGGGTCCCATGAAACTTATTTCAAATTAAAAGTTAATCCATGGTTTAAACCAATTTATAACCAAGGCACATATCATTATCCTATTATATATTTAACCCATAATTGAATCAGGAAGAAAGAGATTTTTCGATGTTATACATAAGGAAAGCTGCGTGCAATGAAGAATGCAGGCATGACTTGGGGAGGGATTTTTTGACTTAATTTCAATTGACTATTGAATAAGGAAATTTTCTATAGTCATAACATTGGGATCAACTAAATTTATTANTGCTGCCATTGTCTATTTTTAATCTTTATCTGCCTATCACACAATAAAATTGCAAACAAAAGAATCACATAATCACGTATTTGTGTTTGCATTTGAATTTTGTAAAACAGTAAAAACAAACACACCAGGGCTCTGAATGACCAATGCATGCAGTACTATTCATCCATAAAGCACCAAAGAAATGACTGTATTCAATAATAATGACTTCTGTGTTGGTAAAGCCAAAGAGCAAAGATGCAATGTATGTTTATATTAATACCAGCTCCATCTTAAATATATGCCAAAACTGAAATAAGGAGGATGAAAATATTATGTTCCATTTGTGAATCTATACATAAAGAATTAAAGTGAGTTTTTTTTATCTCTTTGGAATATACTTTTAGTATCTAAGCTGCAGAGTGTCACCCACCTTCTTAAAAGATGCTTATGCTAATTGGAAGAACAAGATGTTCTTTATTCAGCTGAATTTGAACGGGGTGGTTAAAAGAAATGCATTTAATGGGCTCCAGCCTTGTTGTAAAGCATGCATTTGCTCCTCCCATTCCAGGGGAATTAGTCTTAGTTAATGAATGTCTTGTAGTTGTTTGTGCAATGGAAAGGACTGTTCAGATATCAGAAAAATACAGAAACAAAACACTCTAGTCCAAAACTATAAGGGATAACATTATTAGTTATAAGACTAAAAAGTCAATGGATTGGACATTCGAAATATGATATAAAATGACGATAGAATCAATGGAAAGCCAAATAAAAAATAATCAATGACAAAATTCTCTCTTATTTTCTGAACCACTGTTAGCTCTACCCTTGTGCTTTCTTTTTTTTGGCCAGGTTACGCCACCTAAAGTTGACTTTCATACATGTTTTAAACAGATAAAACCAAAAAAATAGTGTACAATTGTAAATCAGAAATGGGTGAAGGTGGCTGATGGGTGAAATCATCATAGTGATAGAATCTACTTTAATTAATTATATATTTATATTAATGTATGTTTAAGTAACATTGTGCTGAATTAATGTATGTTTGAATGCTGCCTATAATGTTTCTCACATTCATAATAATAAATCAAATCATTCTAACAAAGTTTTGAAGTTTCCCATCATCATCTCCATCATCTTAATCCCTAATATCTGAGACTACATAATCAAACTAGGGAATTAAGAAACTTCCATTTTCTTATTTGTGCCCACAAATTTGATATATTTTTTTTTTTTTTTTTTTAACAGAACTGATTTGATCATTTACATATTCATGGACCAATTAAATTCAATATACACATAGACTATAATTAATTTGATTTTAGTTGAAATAAAAATAATACAACTAGCGGTGGATTTTGATTAATATATTCCAGAGACCTTCCTTCCAATTTCGAAGATCACCGTCATCAATTTGATAATGGTTTCTTTAAGAAAATCGGTGCAAGATTACAACTATAACACATCAAACTTCAACCGTCTTAATCCCTAAGAATCCTTCCATCATCATCTCCTCCATTTCTCTTCAATATAAAACACATCAAGAATGAAACGCAACCCTCTCACAAATCTGCCCAGATTACAACGAGAAAGACCCCAGCAAAAAGCCCCAAATCAATTGCTCATTCAACACAAAAGAACCCTAACAATTTCAGACTAAAAATGTAAGGGAGCGAGGAATGGCGTACCTGGAACAAGGAATGGAGCTATCGTCAACAAATGAAGCTATCGCCGTCGATTTCCAGCGAGGAACGGAGCTGTCGTCGTCGATTTCCGGTGAAGGAGGAAGATGTCGTCGATTTCACAGAGTTCAAACGCGATTTGGGTGGGATTTCAGAGAGAACAGAAGACAGAGCTGAAACCGTTACAATCTTCGCAAAGAACAGAGAGTTTGCTTAGAAATTTTCGTGAGGAAAACGGAGAAAGAGAAGAACTGACGATTGAAGATTGAAGAAGACGAGAAAGGGGCGTGAGAAGACTGCATCGCGTTTAGGATTTAGGTTGTTAATATGGACCGGTTTTTCTGTCGGTCCGGTTGGACCGACGGTTTAGTAATATTATCCGGTTTTTAACCGGTTTAAAACGGTTTAATGCTTATAATGGTTTTGAGAGTGAACCGAACCGGACATGTGACCGTTCACGGTCCAACCGATTGGACTGGCCGGTCCGGTCCGGTTTTTAAAACAGTGGATAGAATAGAATAACTCGATTATAGCATAACGATCACATGTCTTGATTTCTTTAATAAATTATTTGATATTTCTAAGTTTGTCTAAAAATTATATTGGTTAAGTTAATACTAGTGTTTTAAAACCTAAGCCCAAGTGAAACCCAGCAAAGTGACCGGGGCTTGCGTTGACTAGTTTGACCAAGGTGTCCAAAGTTTTGAAATTCAAAAAAATAACCCTAAACACCATTGTCGACATCGACAAATAGGGTCTGTTTCTAGCAACAACACTCCTATCACCACGAAAAGACACCCTTCAGCCTCCTAACCAAAACTCATCTCACCCCTTCCCCGTTAACCTCCCCAATTGCCGATAACAATAGACTTTTTTCGACGACTTAGTTTTGCAATTTTCGATCGATTCACTCACTGGAATCACTTTCGTCACCACCATTCCACTCACCGGCCATTCCCCTTCAAAAGCCTTTACATCCCAATCTTCAATTGCTAATGAATTAATGACCTAATTTCTAGGGTTTTAAATGAATAAGAAAATTTGTAACCTGACCCGATGACATTGTTTTAAAAACCAGACCGAAGGGCAAACCGTTTTGATGGTCGGGTCACGGTTCAACCGGTTAGACCGCTGATTGAACCGGTGACATCATCACACATCATGATGACGTTAGCACATTTTAAAAAAAACAAATTTTTTTTAGATTTCTATTTTTCAATAAGACAATAACAACTTAATTACTATCCAACATGATTCAAAGTTCAAATTCAACAACAATCTTAACACAATTTAAGTATTTAACAACAATTCAAAGTCTAAATCCAAACATTATGTTGTATTTACATATCAAATGACAAAATACATAACAATTAATAACAAAANGCTGGATTTTCAAAGTTGATAGGATTTTTTGGAGAAATTTTTGGGTTTCTTTGTTTCGGGAGATATGAAACTGATTTAGAGAAATTAGTGTTTGAAATTTTAGGTGAAAATTTGGGTTTTTTGCAGATTTTTTTTTTTTAAATTTGGAGGGAAGGTGGCAGCTGAGGTGGCATATGCCACATAATGGAGTAAAAAAAATGGTGTAAGCACTTGTGTAAATGTAGCATTATTGATTTTTATTTCAGCTAATTTAATGATGTTTTTTAATGTTTAAGATGTAACAGACTGTTCTACCTTTCATCAAAACCAAAATAAACAGCAAGGGTTCTGTTGATAGTTTCTAAAGCTTGGGGGTGTAAGGGAATTTTGCAATTTACAAGGGGTGTAGGGGCGTTAGCCCGGTTGAAATGATTAAAATAGAGTAGATTAATGAAATTGCACCAAAGATTTACTGTAATATATTTTGCAATGTTTAATCTTATAACTTTTGCAAATTAATGCTAGGAGAAATGTAATATTAACAACATAATCAAGTTTTAATTTGTTAATTTGTTATATATATAAGTTTAATAGCCCCCTTTGGGATGTAAAATACATCTCTTCTCACCATTCCTATAGAGTATGAGACAATTGTATGTATTTTTATTAGGGTTGTATTGTATGTTTACGATTCTACCATGTCTTTTTCATTCTATCGAAAATCAATTTTACGATATAGACGTTTATGACCTCCCTTTCTATGCCTTGCAATAATGATTTATTTGGCATTACGACTTTTACCACAACTATGTTGTCTATAAATCAAATTATTTTGTTGATTAGATTTCACTTAACTGTCGATGGCTCTATTGCGTGTGCTTGGGATAGAAGTTTTATATAAATGTATCGCCATGCTATTAAGTATTTTGATTTCAAGTTCTTTTATTTCTAAGAGATAGAATAGAATAACTCGGTTATAGCATAATGATCACACGTCTTGATTTCTTTAATAAATTATTTGATATTTCTAAGTTTGTCTGAAAATTATATTAGTTAAGTTAATACTAGTGTTTAAAACCCAAGCCCAAGTGAAACCCAACAAAGTGACCGGATCTTGCATTGACTAGTTTGACCAAGGTGTCCAAAGTTTTGAAATTCAAAAAAATAACCCTAAACATTATAAGTCCTTATAGGTTTAAAATCTTACAAAAACACCCCAAACACCATTGTCGACGTAGACAAATAGGGTCTGTTTGTGACGACAACACTCCTATCACCACGAAAAGACACCCCTCAGCCTCCTAACCAAAACCCATCTCACCCCTTCCCCGTTAGCCTCCCCAATTGCTGACAACAATGGACTTTTTTCGACGACTTAGTTTTGCAATTTCCGATCGATTCACTCACTAGAATCACTTTCGTATCCACCATTCCACTCACCGGCCATTCCCCTTCAAAAGCCTTAACATCCCAATCTTCAAGTGTTCACGAATTAATGACCTAATTTCTCGTCACCACCATTCCACTCACCAACCATTCCCCTTCAAAAGCCTTAACATCCCAATCTTCAATTGTTCACGAATTAATAACCTAATTTCTAGGGTTTTAAATGAATAAAAAAATTTGTAACCTAACCCGATGAAGGCCCTGAGTTCCGTTTGAATCAGTTCAACCAGCCGGGCTGAGTTTTAGAACACTGGTTAATACATCCATTTCAAATCCAATGAAAATAACCAAATAATAACCTAACCCAATGGGATTTAATGCATCTCCAATTCTAAGTAGTGAAAGTAAATCAATCAAAATTATATCTATCAAAATCTTAAGCTAATTTTTGCCACCTTTTCTTCTTGAAGTGAGGCAATAAAACATGTTAAATATTAAGAGAAATAATTAAGTTGGTCCAAAACACACAAAACTGATAAAGATTACAATTTAACGCAAATGGAAAATAAACTAAAGGTAATAAAACAAGAAAAACTGCCTGAAAATAGCTAAAAGATACAACAGTCTTATTAATAGGAACTTCAAAGAGAGGCGTGACGGAATGGCTTCAGTTACTGCTTTCTATATTTTCAGGATGTGGGCTGCTATTACCAGCTTCTAGCTTAGAAGATTCATCGACTCTCCTGTTATCGTCAACATCCAGCACATCATCCATCATGTCATCCTCCCCGACATTGATATCTTCCACATCGTCATCTTCGTTATTGCTACGACCTAGAATCTTTCTTGACTTTGGACCATGCTCAAGCCTATGAGTATCCAATTCTTTGTCCATTGTTTCCTGCAAGTTCAAAATATCATTGTTTGCTTTCCTAGCTTTTCTCGCATATTGCCACCTCTCCAGTTCCTTCTCAAGGTTCGCAACATACTGTTCGGAGATTTGCTTCTGATATTTGGATAGTTCTTCCCTCCTAGCAGCTTTCCACTCTGAAAATTCCTGGAAATTTACAGGAATTGATGAATGGAGATGTGAGATTTTCCCTATAAATCTAGATGTAATGATTACTGTTCAGGTTATAATCCCAAATGTACGTTAATCTGTACCTCTACCTGGAAATTCAATACAGCTGTTATAGTGCCTAAATCAGTCTTAACGGAATATTATAAACATTGCTTACAAAATAACGAGACAGAAGGAAGTGGTGCATGAGATCCAACTCTTCTAACTTTGCTTCCCATATAGTAAAGCCCAAGAACGTTTAAAAATTCAGTTGTAGTGCCTAAATCCATCAATAAATACATCTCCTAAGCTTCCTACTCACACTAAGAGAAACAGGTTCAAGAGTGATGTGCAGAAGATGATTGTTGTAGTTCTCAATGGCCGAAAAATGAGACACAACTGCCCATCTTCCCCAAACAATCATTTTGCAGGGAACTCTTTCAGAAAGAGTGCAATGATTGTAGCACAATGCTTATACACAGATCCCTGCCATTCTATAAAGCTGTGATTGGTTAATTAAAAATATATATAAAGACACCATCTTTCATAACATTAAGCCTCTATTGGTGAACATCAGCCACATACTAGAAAACAGGCACAGAAGTTGACATTAAATAAACTTTAGCCCCTTCTATTGGTGAACATCAGCGATATACTAAAAAAAAAAAAAAGAATTGGAAGGAAAGTCACCTGTTCCCTACGCTGCTCAAGTAAAATTGCATCTTCATCCAGCGGTTTGGCAGGCAAATAATAAATTGGAGGCTCCGTCTTGGTCCTGAAATTCAAAATCCGCAAGAAATCAAAACTTATATCATAAAATTAAAATATAATTTAGAAAAAAAAAAAAACTCTGAACTTCTGCAGGAAGCATTTACTGATTTAGTAGCTTTAACACTACTGTAAACATGAACAGAAACTTATCTTCGTCTCAATAAAATTGTGAATATGGACACTTTTGGACCAAAATTAAAAATAACCTGCAGCAAAAAATGAATCCACAGAAAGATTCGAGTCAGGTGGAAAATACTAGAGCTGGGATTTGTGATCTGAAAGTAATTTTAAAAACACTAAGATACAATTCAAAAATATGAGTTTTATCTAGATAGTTTTACCTAAATATTTAAAATATCTGAAAACAGTTCTAACATAATTTTCAAAAACTAATTTCACAGCTAAAAACTATGATAAATAAAGAAATCGATTTTTATTTGTTTTCTGGTTTTACTCTTTATTTTAAGATTGTATCTCAAAACTACTTAAGAAAACATTTCAATGAAACACATTTTCTCAAAATTTCTAGTTTCACTCATCTTAAAATACAAAGGATTGCATTTAAATTCTAAACCAAAACACCCTTAATATATATAGTCAAACAGATGAATACCTTATAAAATTGCTAAGCTTTTTATGGTGCTCACTCCACTGAAGAAATAGCAATTCCAACTTCTTCTCTTCCGCCTTGGCTGCAACACGAGCCCTAAGAGTCTGAAGCAGAAACGTGAAAAACAAATAGTAAGAAAGATTCACTTGCTTTAAGCAAACAGAAAAAATGAATCCATTTAAGGCTTCTTTAATATAAATAAAAGTAGTATAATTAGAAACTAACCAGATCTCCCCTCCTCTTTTCTGCAATTTGCTCACGCTCTTGTAGCCTTAGCCTTTCACTTTCTTCACGTGCTCTTTGCTCAGCCTAAGAAAGTTCGGACAAATCAAGCGGTTTCACTTGGAAACTCTAGGTTTCCAAAAAATTTTACAACTTAAAAGCAGATACTACTAAGACACTCTTATCCATGATTCAAAATTAGCATGAAAAATAATATATCCAACCTAATACACATCCAACAGATATTAAGAAAGCAAAACTGGGTTATACTTCATTTTATTGGTGCCCCAATAATTTTTAAATCCTTACAAAACCTCTTAAGAAAATTCTCACCAATTAATTGTTACTTTCATTTGAATGATGTTATAGGGTCGTGTACACTTACTCTTTGCAAAGCATTTGACCTCTGCCTGTATGCCTCTGTTCCTGAAAGCTGCATATCTTCTTTCCTGAATTTCTGGCAGAAATTAAAAAATTAATAAATAAATAAATGACAATAATGTCACCAGGAATAAAACTACAAACTAAAAGATAACATTTACTTTAGCACTAAACTGTAAATATATTTCCATAGAAAAATGGAATCTAGTAGAAGCATTTTAGGGGTTGTTTATTTATGTTTCATCACATGTTTTCTGTTTTAAAAATGCAAAACTAAATAAAAGAAAATTTCAATAATTTTATTTGGAAATTATTCATTCCCAGTTTGCATAAAAGATCATTAAAGACAAAGATTGAATAAATTTATTGAACAGGCCCTCAAGAACTTCATTAAGAATTTGCACCGACTCTGTACAGACCTTGTCAAGTTCTTTCTTGGAATCCCTGTTCACGTATCTCTTTCATGATTTTTTTATATATAATATATCATTTTCTTCATTTCATGGAATAAAAAATTCGACTGATTTTTATCCAAGTTTATGTCTTCTCCTCCCTTCATAACAAAAATTTAACCATTAAAAAGCACTAGCTAGTGAATTCTACAAAATACTTAACAAATTGCCCAACCTTGAAAAATCCTAGAAGAGCCTAAAGAAAGATAGACATTTCTCAATAGATCAACAAAATATACATATAACAAAAACAGAAATCCTCCTGTTGAGGTCAAAGCGCTCTTAAGAGAAAAGAAGTGCAATATCACCATCAATATATATATTTATATATATAGATATACTTCACCATATCCTTAGATGATAGACTCTTCAAATTAGTTGGGAGTAAATATGTTGAATAACATCAAAAATGCGAATGGTATGGATGTTGTATGCTCCACTTTAATGGGACATTTTCACTTGTCTCAAGAGTATCTATTTTGGATAGTGTCTTACTCAACAATGGAGCAATGATCAATGTAAATTTGACTGTGTATACGAATTTGAATAATGCTACAAACAATATGAGTGTCTCAGATTAAACCTACTAATCTCACTAATTAAGTCTTTTTATTAACATTTTGAGTTATAGCTCTAATTTCCCATCTATCAGTAACTTTTTCAATTGCTGTAGCTATTTGCACATTATAATGTGTACCACTTTTTAAAAGAAAACGAGAGACCAATATAGGTACATGTAATAGAACCATGCAATCATCCAAAAGAATTCATAAAAGAGTACTGATTATTAGAATGGCAAGCATGAGGTCAATAAGGTGGATAGGACTATGGTACTAAAAATCTGATAAACCATGAATTAGGGCAGTATTGGTCAAGGACTATCACATTTAGAAACCAATTATTATTTTCTCAGTTTTTCAGACATTTTTAGTGATACATCGTTTTTGTAAATATAAAAAAACATTCACATAATTTAACATAAGGGAAAGAGCAGTAGAATGACCTTTTCCAATAAATAACTTGAACCAGATATTTCCTAGCAGACTCCATGTTAAAGTAAATCTAGCTTCAATAAAAAGGAAACAAGCTCAAGCAAATGTTAACACATACCTCCAAAGTTCCCAAAAGTTGTCCCAGCATTCTCTTATTTCTATTAACCAAGCTTGGATCCTCATCTTTTGGCAAAACCCTAGGAAAATGCTCCATTAGTGGCATTGAATTATCCTATAAACAAAGCAAAAATCAGAAGCATTAAAACATATAGGCTTAGAAATACAATTTTCAACAAAACAAGAGACAATATCAAATTACCACCTTTGCAACTTTCTGATGTCCGTCCCTTCTGGACCAGCCCCCATGCTGCAAATCAGAAGGCTTCCTATCACTCTGATTAGCTGCACCAGTTCCTTCTTGACCTGCATCCTTCATTGCCCCTGCATGCTCAGTTATCTCTCCATCCTCCAACTTCATAACCAAATAAAACACGGTAAATTAATCTCTAATTCTAAATTTGCCAATGTGAATAAGAAAAAATTTAAGGAAAAATGAAAGAAAGATTTCCATTTAGTTAACCAAACAATCACAATTTTCTGTATTTCTAGGCCAAATACCCAATCAGTCGCAAAAATAAATTTTCTTATAAATTTAAGTATTTAACTGTCGTTCCTTTTTCTCTGCTCTAAATTCTCAACAAAAAAGAAAACAATATCCGAAGAAAAGTCCACCTTTAATTCTTGTACAAACTGGAAATTTCAACAAAATTAACAACTGAGCAAATCAATCAGTCGAGAAAAATACAATTTTGTTTAATTTAACTGTTGTTCCTTTTGCTTCACTCTAAAATCTCAACAAGAAAGTAAACAGTATCCGAAGAAAATTCCACCTCTAATTCTTGTGTAAACCGTAACTTTAAATGAAATTAACAATAGAGCAAATGTTTGAATTAAAGAAATACACAACATAATAAGAATTGTGCTAGGCCTAACCTTAACAACGGCCGACAAGAGTCTCCTTTTAGCCAGAGGTTGATCTTCAACGTCAGTCCTATCAGCCTGAAACTAACTTAACTCATCCTCATCAACATTACACATTCTTAACACGTGCGCATAAAAAAAAAATTAAGTAATTACCGGCCGAACAAAGCCACGTTGGCGGACTCCATTGGCGGCGAGGTTTCGAGGGCCGGCACCAGAAAAGGCTCCTCTACGGAGTCCTCTCGGGTCCCGAAGCCTCTCAGTAATCTGTTACAAATTCAACGAACAGAAAATCCAAAAATAAATTAAAATACGTATAAAATAAAATTAAAACGATAAATTAACAGATAAAAGAAACGAAGAAGGACCTCTCGCTGCTGGCGATGGAGCTCGTCGATCTCTCGCTGGAGCTCTTCGGCACTTTTCTGATTCTCCACTGCAGTGCTTCCCATTTAGGGTTTCTGTTTTTGCTTTTACTGTAAGTTTTACTACAATTCAACGGATAAAACAGACCTGTGAAATCCTTTTTTTGGTGGTAGTGTTTCTGTTGTGACTTGTGAGTGTGTCCCTGAAAGGAGAAAACTGAGGTTTTAATTGGGCTGAGCCCAACAAAAGATAGGCCCATGGGCCCAATACTAGAAGAGTCTTGTTATTTGAGTATCATATTAATTTAACAAGTAATACTACACATACAACGTTTCTCATACAATATAATGTAACAAAAATTAATTAAGTGAAAGTTTATTTTTAATTTAAAATCAATCAATCATCTTTTATCATATCATTTAATGTGAGAAATGTTATATATAATATTATATGTGTAGTATTATGCTAATTTAAATTCATCAAATAAAATTAAACACATACTCTATTCCAGTATGAGTAATACTACACCCACACCTTTTTACACAAACTTATGTGGCAAAAGATGATTGGATAAAAGATTATTTAAAATTTAAAATCACCCAATCATTTTTTGCCACATAAGTTTGTGAGAGAAAATTTGTATAAAAATATTGTGGGTGTAGTATTATTGTTCCAAAATTAGTCTTGTCTTCTTCCACTTTTATCTTAGCCTTGATAC